ATATTTTTTTCAGTAAAATTAACATTTATGATATGTTAAATTATCTCATATTTTATTCATTCATCTTAAAATTTCAAATTTAAAACGCTTTATTTGTATGTTATTTGTTTACTTGGTCATAAATTATATCATTTTGATACTAAAAAATGTTAAATATCAATTTAACACAAAATCTTAAAATAACATATTATATTAAATTAATAAATCTGTTAAAAAATTTAGCACAAATCGTTAACGTGAGTGGACCGTTTCTGATACAAATACACAATGTTTTTTTACTGTGTAGCTAGTATTTATAATTTGTTTTTACTTTAATACTCTGTTTCAAGTAATATCTTGAAGTAATATCAAGATGCTAATACGACTTTGTGATTGTTATGTCGTCTTAAAAATACCATAAACCATATCACAGAGCTGTAATAACATAAGAGCAAACTTTATAAATACCAATCTTTAAGTTTGATGCAAGTAATGCTATGCATTACAAAATTTATTATGAAAAATATCACCTCAGCCAAATTGTGCTTCAAGACTGAAAATTTAATTAGCGTATGATTTATAGAGCTGGAAATGTATATATATAAATATACTTTAAAATATTATTATGTACGAAGCTTTAGCTTGAACCGAAAAAGCATTTCCCTTCTAGGTTATTACATATCGGTCTAATGTTTCATTCTTGTTTATTATTGCTTTTATTAATATTTAAAAATATTGTAAAATTTTTTAGATTAATTGTGTTTGAGCATTAAAAAAATAATAAAAAAACAACGAATGATTACTTTTTAAGTAACGGTAAAGAGTTACTTTTGAGAATCAGTAACTAGTTACGATAAATAGTTATTTTTTTACTCAGTAATGAGTAATAGTAATCATTATAGTTACTTTTAAAAAGTAACCTTTCTTTCCCTGAATTCATAATGATCAATAATAATAATTATCTCTTATCGTATATACACTGAAAGAAAATTGATATCTATTATAATAATTGAGCCTAAATGATACTAATATAAAAAATTACTAAAGTTTCGTTGAATTTCAATTAAATGTTTGGTTAATATTATTAACTAAATGTTGATTTTATTGTTGTAATTATTATCAGCTGACTTTTTTAATTGATACCAAATAGTTACTTACTATTACTATGTTTGGTAATAAATATTTACAATGCACGAACATCTTAAAAATAAGGTACGTTTAGTAGATAATACCAGACTTTCTTTCAGTGTAGCCATAAAGTATACATAAAGTATATATTTTATATACTTTCTGTGTTATATATTTATGTCAATCATACCATACATTACACTTTAGCTGCCATAATACAAACTTTTAGAACATCTGACACTAAAGTTAAAAGTGTCACGAGAGTCAAGTCATGCGAAAACAAGCCTAAGTAAGTCGATTGGACAACACAGTGACGTTATGAACGGGATCGTGCAATTTTCCCATAGTGACCATCAACTTGTTCGCCTCCTCCAAGTTATTCCCGCCTTAGTCTCTCCAGAGGGACAATGAAAGGCCGTGAGAATGAAAGATAAGGGCGATTAGAGCGAGAGACTCGGACGAAGGAGAAGCGAAGTCCGTAAATCAGGATGTTACTTCCCTTGATCCGATTACGAACGATTATATTCCGTGCGAAGTCTTCGCGAAACTCGTCGTCGCTCGGTACTTTTATAGTAACACGACCGGCTTCACTATAATTGCTTTGTAACTTTTTCTCTTCCTTCCTATTTATCTTTTCTTTGCTTCTATCTATTTCCTATTCTTGTTTCTTACGACAATAAAGAGTTACTATTTCTTTTTTCAGTCAGAATACCCTCAATCTCTTAATGCATTCGGCGAGAATATGCGACGAGAATTTTTTTCGTATAATAGACTTTTTCTCTTTTCTCAAAAATTATTTTCTATTAAAACAGTGTTTAGAAACGTAGAAACGTAGAAATCAATTATACTATAATTTTGCTGTTAAAGCATGTGGCTTGACTTCACTTTATTCTTGGCATGATCAAACTCTTATAAGTCTTGATTTCTTTTATGTGAAAGAGTCTTCTTCTTTATATCTTTAGCGTCTTAAAACGTTAACGACTTAAAGTGCGATATTCTTAGCAACTTTGGAAAAATATCGACTTCGAACTATTTCGTCGTTTTGTAGCAGCTGCATTATCCATTAAACAACCTTAAGTTTCAACTAGTTCCGTATAGCTATCATAAAATTTCACATAGTTTTCAGATAATTTTTTTCCATTCGTCTATAAAAACTGCGCAAGTTTGTCATATTACTTATAATTCGAAATACCAATTTGTCATACTTTAATTATTTTTTCTGAGAATTATCTATTTCTTGATAAAAACGAGATATTGTGAAAAAATGTGTTTTAGAGGTTAATTTTCCAAGTTGGTAGTGCAATTAGTACGGCGGTCAAATTGGAAAACTTGTGATTTCCATTATAGGACATCAAATTTCAAGACATTGAAAAATCATCATTACCGGACCTGTGCAAGCAAAAGTCCTTTTTTTTGTCTATATGGATTGCAGGACTATTACGTGACGTACGTTACGCACATATGAAATTAAAATTATATCATATTTCAGTATCATACTCGTACATTGGATACTTATGTATGATAAGTAGATGTATTCCCAACTTTGAATTATTAATTTTGTTTCTTTTATATTTCTTATATGCATATAGTTAATTGTTTTTTAGATATTTTAACATTTCCGGGCTTTTAGAGGACCTTGTATCAATAACTTCAATTGCACATAGCCTCTATAAACGTCATTTAAACGAAATATTGCATATTTGAACTCTACTCGATAAGATCTTTCCAACAATATATAATTTGTATCTATTTATGACTATCACTTTCTGCATTTTCCTTATGAATGTAAGTAAAACAAATTATAATTAAAAGTCGAAACACACATAATAATTAAATTTTCGAGATGATTGCATTTGTCTACAAATCAATTGTCTACAGTAGCGTTTGCTTACATCACTTTTGCCTACAGCTCGATTGTCTACATGCACTTTTGCGCACAAATAAAAATTTTAGAAACGGAGTTACTTTTGTCTACATTTATATGTTGTGAATACATTATTATGTAATAGTCAAGAAATTATCAGACTTTAAGATTAATGACGCTTCAAGTAAGAAGCGAGCTTGCTACGTCAGTTTGTATCGAGCTGCCGATAACAGCAGGTTATGCTGGTAAGATGAGACGACAGGATACGTCGCGATGTCGTTCAACAGATGGGAAACAGATAGAGATGTTACCGGGTAACAATCGAGGATGCGCTGTCGCTTGGACGGATTGCGCGCGTTGTCATCCGCGACGAACAATGAGTCGTGGCCGACCTCCGAATAGAGAGATGGAATTTATGTGGTCTCGGAGCCGCATTTGATATCGGAAAATCAGGGAGAGGGCTGCACAAACCGCGACAATACATTCCGGACATATTGCTCCTCGGGATTCTTTCCGTCCTTGCATCATCATGTTGGACGACGTGCAATCGCACAAGTAAAGCTTTTATTCGGCGGGACGCACTATTATTTTGCATGTTTAATCGTAGAAGCTTAGGAAATGGACAATGACAAGTCGTCAGATTTCTCATACATCTGTTTCGCGGCTGCTTCGTAAAGGTTGCTTCGTGAGATTAATATTAAGCTTAGTAAAACATCCTATTATTATTTTTAAACGCACAATAAATGTATCATCAAACAGGACACAAAAATATTCGAATATTTAATCCTTCGAAGCTGCAGACGTCAAAATTTGTAACACTAAATCTGTGAGATCTATTTAATTTGTGTTGATTAAAAAGCACTAATTAATTTCAGGGAACCAAAAACGTATAAAAAAGAAAAAATTAATTTGACATTTTTTATAAAGAGATTTATAATTTATAATTGATTTAATAGATCCACAGTCATCTCCGGAGGGTCAAATATGCAATATATCAAATGTTAAAGTGAAAACTTCTTTTTAATAGACCAATCTGTTTATTGGTCTCATTTGAAATAAAAAATTTCTAAAACTGATTTTTTTTTTAATTCTACAAATACATTAAATCTGACACTAATTCTTAGCTGTTCTCTCATGTAAACCCATTTTTATTTCTAGTGTCAGAATCATGCGTACACAAATCATTTGCAGCATGCGTCTCTGGATTTATATTACTACGTGATTACGTAATGGTTTCGCCTGATGTTGCATCACGCGGTTAGCGTCTATCGAGACTTACCTACGGATGAATTGATTCGTCCTTTCCTTCTGTTTATCTCGCTTTCTCTCTCTCTCTCTCTCTCTCTCTCTCTCTCTCTTTCTCTCTCTTCCTTTACCTCTGTCTCTTTTCCTACGGAAATGCCATAGCGATATGTCCCGGTTAGCCGTATACTTCGTCTTCGGATAGAATTTTCGATTGGGCAAAGTCTCCACGTTCCTATCGTGCCGCGGTTGTACGGTTCGATTAAATTTCCCCGGGATTCTGTGTGGTTACGGAAGTCTGGTATCTGGCATTCAAGCGTCCGTCCTGCGGTCAGTGGCTGTTATGTAATAAATGTTCGGCAATCCTTAGTAATTGACCAAAGTTTAATCGTTCAAATACATCTTCGATTCTACAACGCGAAAGAAAGACTGATTCAAAATATAACAAACAGAATCATTAAATATGTTACTTAGTTTTTCTATTTCCTTTTGTCGTTCTAAAAACACATAAGAATGCAAGAAAATCTAAATAAAATAGAAAATATCTTACAGAAAAATAATAAGGTATCCTCTATACAAATATGTGTGTGGCCTAAAGGCCAATTTCCACGATGCTAGAAATCGGTCCGAGATATCAAACAGAGAAAAAATTAATAAAGACGTCATTGAGTGTTTGAAAGACATCATAAAGATATTTTTTGGGGCATACATGTCTAAAAGATATCTAAAAGATAAAACATCTTCTAGACATTGCGCGTTGTCTGAGTTGTATCTTAAGCATGCTATAGTGAGTTATTTCGATGAATAAGCGCCATAAACAACTGTCTATTGCATTTTTATCGCAATTTGTTTCGTGTCAAATATAAAAATTAATGTATACATTTTTCTAAAGTACGCAAAAGTTTTTCAATCAAATTCGAGAGAAATGGTTGTCAAACTTTCACATAAGCAGCGTAGTTCGCTACGCCGCAACGATTCTTGTTTCTCGCCAGTCGCATGTAGCCGTTTTCACCCCAACTATCGCCCCACCAGTTCTTCAGGATCCACTCGGTTGGCGTATATCCGACGATGAGCATTGCGTGATTCACCATGTCCGAACTGCATCGATGATCATCGTAAACGCCTTTGCTACAAATGGAAATATCAGATTAACATCTGAAATTTTCTTATGCAACTTAAAAAGAGATAGGGCGCTATTGCTATAATAAATATGATAATTATATATTAATAGATAAAAAGTTAGAATTAAACAATCTTTCATTAATGAAGCAAAACATTTTCACATGCGTCAAGTCTGCTTTCTTACTTAAAAAATGACGCAACTCAAAAACTTGATTACAATATTACTGTGAATAAGTTAAGTAAATACTACCTTATAAGTGAACTAATTTATCATCATGAACATCATCAAAAATGTCACAACAAAGAAAGTTTATAAAAAAATCGGAAAAAAGGAAAAAAAAAGAAATATATGCGCTAGAAAGAGATGTTTCCCAAGAATATTAAAGGACATGAATCATCAACTTTCTGAACTTGCGAACTGTGCAAAATATTATACACAAGAGCATATAATTATTAGATAAAATTTGCATATTGATATCAGTATATTGATATCGCATATTTTCAATCAGCATCCTGTATTTATTGCAAATTTGCAAAATAACATCTTGGGGCACTAATCATTTCCTGTTTACCATGAATGCCAAACGATTTCCATGATTTTTACGGGTATTTATTGTTCGCCGGAAATGAAGATTGGCAGGAAATAGTCGCGCCTTGGCATTGTAAGCCCTTTAGAATAACATGGATTCAACATAACTGTGCCTCGGTGATTCGAATAAATAAAAGTCGTCGGCGGTATACTAAAGGTTATCAAGCGATTCTCTGATGGGGGTCCAGGCAAAATTTCCAATCGTCTTTCGTGTGTAAGTATTGTACTTATAATGCTAAAATTTTAATAATTCTACCAAAACAAAGACGTCCGCAAGATTTCTTTTAGAGAGGTATGATTAAAAAAATTAATAATATAATAATAATAATAATACTTTTTTAACGTATATTTTCTTCATATACACTATATACACACACACACATATATATATAT